CCAATATTGGATGTAAATTTTCCTGTGTTGCACTTCTGCCCTGTCTGACTGTGCTGTGACTCAGGCAGTGAGAGAGAGCAAAAACAGAGCTGGTGCCATTTGCCCATCAGGGTTAAAAGGAGAAATTAACAAAAATGAATGTACTGGAAAGGAAAAAAGGGATGTATGTGTATGAATCTTCAAAAGAAAAACTCCTCATCTGTGATCAGTAGTGATCTGTGAGTGGTAAGAAGCTGTGTGTCAAGGGAGAAAATGGAAATATCTGGTAAAGGAACTAAAAATCAAACTGTATTTGTCAAAAATGTCTGAAAGCATGTAGCCCACTGGCAGACCTGCTAGGGCTCCACGAGCTCCTTTAATAAAATCAGTAACTACTTCCAAAATGCAGCCAACTTGATTCCCATGCTGAAAGGTGCTAGGTAGGATCCTGACAGCTTTTTGTCAGGCTGGGGTTTCCTCCAGAGAGCAGGAGAAACAGTTTTCCTCTGTTTAAATGCTAACTAAAAATAATTCTGTAAGAAGTCTAAAAGAAAATAATAGACAAAAATCAGCAGGACTCTTTAAAAAGAGATTGATCTCCTGTAGTATATATGTACACTGATCCAAACTACATTAGTGAGAAATTTGGCTCCATAGCCCTGGCATTTGTCTTTTAAGATTGAAAAATTGAGGACTTACTCTGAAAAGCACTGCGTAGGAAGGCTATAGAAGCTCACCATTACTTTTGAAGCATGACTGTGCCACAACATTGGCTTTGAAATCCCTGGGTCTGTATTGCAGCAGAGACTCTGACCCACAGGCTCATCCTCTGCCTGAGAAATGTGCTCTGTCTCTCACATCAGCCAAGCAAGAGAAAAGCTACAAATAGTGCTGAGCTGACAGTTCTGCTGGTAGTGCCAGAGACAGGACAAAACCCAGCTCGCTCCCCTGTGCTTGCTGCTTCATTAGTAAAGATAAGATTTACAAAAGCACGTAGGACAGATAAACTGAGTAAGAATCCCTTCTGTAAACTCAGAATTCCGATTTGCTTTTTAAGGTGTTTCCAGCAAACTCTGTTTCCAGAGTTCAGAGGAGATGCTGTCAAAACATTTTGTGTTTATTGTATTGCTCAGGCAGTGTGGAGAAGGTGAGGCCAGTGATTTCCACAGCATTGTCATGAGCAAAGGGGAGCTGCAGCATCACCACTGAATCTCTCAGTGAGGGTGAAAACTGGCTTGCAGCTGGTGTTTGTATCAAGATGGAAACTATCCTCCCATTTCTTTTTACACAAAGTGGTGTTCTGAAATCTGTACTCAGCCAGAAGTCCCTGGGCAGTGTAAAGGAGGCTCACTGCAAGGAACACCAGGGTCTGTGTGCCAGGTCTCTGGGTATTGACCCACTCTGAGCAGAGCTGCTTCACTGCCAGGGGTTTGGTTTTCTCACTCGGATGCCCTGAAACAATTGAAGGGTTTTCCCCTGTGATCTAAACTAGGTTTGAGACTGGGTTGTATCTCTGGATCATGGCTATGTGCACCTAAAGGCTGAATCTGAATCACCTCTCCATCCAGGAGCCTCCTCTAGGGCAGATTAATTCTTTAATGAGTTAATTCATTAATTAATGGCACAAGGTGAACTTCACAGGGTGGCAGTTCAGGAGAGGATTTCCCCAGCAGCACAGGTGGTGCAGCCACTGTCCCTGGAGCCTTCAAGGAAAGGACTCGGGGCCATGGTCTGGCTGACCAGGTGGTGTTTGCTCGTAGGCTGGACTTGACTTTGGGGGTTTTTCCAACCCAACTGATTCAGGTCTCATTCTAACATGACTCAGAAATGTGAGCAATCCTTTGCACATCAGGTGCCTCTTTGTTTGCATCAGTGCACAAGCTGTGCTGTCTCTGCCACGTTCCTGAGTTTTATTTACTGCCCTAGTCTTACTCAAAGTTCCACCTTTTCTAAATGACCAAGGGAAGCATTTGAATTTCCTTCTCTTTCAAATTCAGCAGCTCCACTTGACCCTTTAAAGTACAGATACTGAACCAGTGTTTAAACTAAATGCCATTTCTAAGCAAACACCCACAAAGTTATTAGGCATTTGCTCAACACAGTACATCCAAGTTACATTGCAAGGACCAAGCTGAGACCCATCTGCTTTTTAAATATTAATTGGCTCAGTCCCCAAAACCAAAAGTGCTTTTTTTTTTAAATTGGGGGTTGCAATTCTCTTCTGAGAAATTTTACAAGAGAAGATAAATTAATCTCTCTAGCAGTACTTGGCATGACCCACAGCTGTTTCTAATGTGGCTGCCTGGCTAGCAGAATGTGTTTTTACAAGTACTCTAAAGTGCAGTTACTACTAATGCAGAGAGGATTATGCTTGCTTTTGCAGCATCAGGTTTGCTCTCCTAATGGAAGGGGAAAAAAGCTCTGCTCAAAACTTCACCTGGGTAAACTTGGGAAATGATTTGACTTTCTGTGGGGAGGACCTTACACAGAAGCAGGATAAAACTTTAAAATGAGTCTGTGTTTAAAGCAAAGAAGAAATTGAATGGCTTCAATAAGAAAACTGCTTTGTGGCATTTTCTTGTTATCAAGAATTGTTTTGGAAAAGTGTGGCAATGGTTAATTTTTAACATTATCAACCGGGTTTTAATTTTAAAAATTATCATTATTAGCTTATATTTTGGAGTTAGAAAATCGAATGCTTCTCTAAAAGTATCTTTACAAAAGCCTCCTCCAAGATGCAACCCTGTAAAAAGCTTTACATTTTGTTTTTCATGAATGAACTCTACTGCACAGTCCTGAGGAAATACTTGAGGAGTGTTTGTGTTTAGGTGAAAAAAGCAGAGCTGAATTCAATAATTCAGTACCTGCATCTTTGTTAAGGAAAGCAAAACTGCAGTGTTATAAAACAATACATGTTACTTGGGCAATGAAATGTTATTCTCTTTGGAGCTAATGATGAGTTTGCTCCTACTGCAATAAATCCAGTATTCTTTTGAAGAGGTCACAGGCATGTGTAAGAACTTTTAAGAGGCAAAGGAAAGGTCCAGTAATCTGGACTAAATGTATATATTTTTAACAGCCATCCATTTTGGACAAGCTTTCAAAACTCCTCCAAACTTGGCCAGCATAGGAAGAATGGGTCCATGTCACTGAAAAGTGTCCAAGTTGTAAGACATCAAATGTAAGGAGACCTTTCAATCAAAGGTCATGCAACCAGTTCTTCTTAAAGGATCTGTATACACAAGCACAAACAAATTTGTCATTTATCCTTCAGATAAGGTGTTCTCTGAGCACTCCCAGCACACAGCTCCAACAGCTCACTCAGGGACCTCCAGCCTGGATTTGTCACCAGCTGATCTAAGGCCAAGGGACCAGCAGCTGTTGAATCATTCAGCACAAGAAATGTGATTTCAGTGATGCATTTTCAGCTGCAAGGCAGAGCACTGGTGCATTGCATGGAGCTGAGGGCCAGCCCCAAGGTTTTGACACCCAACCACTGCTGTTACTGACAAAACAAACTTCCTTCTGGGCTTGTCCTCAGTGTCACCACAGAAGATCCATTTGGTCACAGCCACCAGTGGAGCTCAGTGCCTCACAGCCTTTGTGCTCATTGTAGCAAGTGCCAGTGCTGAAGCTGAAATTTAATGTTGTCTTCTCGGGTTTTCTGCTTTTGTGGTGACCTGAGAGTCCTTTTTTCCCAGCCCAGTGGCTGAAGAAAGAGTCAGAACTCTTTGGCTCATGTTCACAATGTTGTTTATTATCTGTTATCTAAAGTATTTTCTCTCAGACCTGTAGAGGTTTGCTCTGCAGGTCTGTCAAAGGCACACTGCCTGCCCCTGGGCTGGTGTCTACATTTTATACTATGAGTTACATTACTTTATTTATCATTATTTTCCAATACCTATCACCTATGTTAGACTGTCTACTTCTACTTTAGGCCAATCTAAATGTGCCACCGTCAGCCAGAAGATGGAGGCTAGGAAGAAGAAGGAAGAAGGACAGGACAATGCCCATGTCCCTCCATTTGCCTCCTAGACCCCCTATAATAACATCCCCAAAACTCCATTTTTCACCTGGTGACAACTACTATTATGCTACTTTAACTTTTGTGGATTGTAATTCTTCATACAGAGTTGGTAATTTGCTGCATGGGTTAAGATTGAATTCCCAAGTGTCTTTGGCTTCCTGCCAGGGTCTCCAAGCCCCTGCCAGGGGCACAAGCCATCCAGGGCACCCAGAGGGATGTCCTGGGTTCTGACATTGTCCCACCTGCTTATGAAATCAAGGACCCAGAGATGAGAGGGAGGACATAATTTTAAAGTTCCTTGCAGTGGGCAGCCTGCTGTCTGCCTTGTGTCATCCTGTGCCATGGTGACAACTACTATTATGCTACTTTAACTTTTGTGGATTGTAATTCTTCATACAGAGTTGGTAATTTGCTGCATGGGTTAAGATTGAATTCCCAAGTGTCTTTGGCTTCCTGCCAGGGTCTCCAAGCCCCTGCCAGGGGCACAAGCCATCCAGGGCACCCAGAGGGATGTCCTGGGTTCTGACATTGTCCCACCTGCTTATGAAATCAAGGACCCAGAGATGAGAGGGAGGACATAATTTTAAAGTTCCTTGCAGTGGGCAGCCTGCTGTCTGCCTTGTGTCATCCTGCGCCATTACTGGAGAAGCAGGCAACCCCAGCATCTGGGGAGAATGATGCATCTGACTCCATTGATTCAGAAGGCTAATTAATTACTTTATTACACTATATTATCCTATACTATATTACACTAGATCTGAACCGAAAGTGAACAAGAACTCAAGTGAACAAAATCTCGTGGCTGTGTCCTGACAGACCGTCAGGACACAGCTTGCAGAGATTGGTCAAGAAAACAAAACACTCACACCAGAACCCAGTTACCAATTCCCTTCAGGTAAACCACCTTCCACAATGCATTCCACTTGTGCACAAACACAGGAGCAGCAAATAAGATAAGAATTGTTTTGATCATTCTCTTCTCTGCTTCTCTCAGGCTCAGAGAATGTGAATCCCACAAGGCATCACCTTGCCAAGCCAGGAATTCTTCATCTGCTCTGAACTTGGGTAGTTACCCTTGCGAGGTACGTGTCATTCATTACTGATTTCCTTTCAAAGCAATAATGAAGACGTAACTGTGGATGGTTTTCCTCAAAAAAAAGGTAACTTAAAAAATATACAAAAATCGTGCAAAAGATGTCATCAAGATTGAAACTACCAGTGTTCAAGTGGCAGCTTTTAATTGTAAATTAAAAGTGGCAGCTTTTAATTTTAAAGTAACAGGTCTGTTCTAGGAAAAAAGAGTCTGCCAGTATTGTTCAACCATTGTAGACATACTCCTCTGTGGTTTGATGCCCTCATGGAGTTCTCAGAGGAAGACAAACTACCCATGTTCCCAATAAGATTGTACAGTGTGCAAGGAAAGCAGCTGACCAGGCTGTTCTCCAAACTTTTCGCAGAGGTTTGCAGGAACTGTTCTTCTGATGGCTCTTCATTGCAATATCAGTTTATCCTTCCTTGTGGCTTTAATGTCAAAACTAGAAGAGAATCAGAAAATTTAGAAGCAACATCTCTTGAAGGAGCTAGTAAATAGCCTGAGTATTTTTGGTTTTATTGAGTGGGGTTTTCACTACAAAACAAGAAGCATGTACCAGGACTTTTAATGGTGGAGATATAATGGATATTAAACTGATGTTTTTGTCAGCAGTAAATTAAAAATTTTACTGCTTTTTGCAAGTACCAGTTTGTCATACTTTACATGGGAACACCAGAAAGGCCACATTTGCTCAGAGTAAAGGTCCATCTGGCTCAGCATCCTGTCCCTGGGTAGTGGCCAAGAAATTCTGCCTAGGGGTGAGTCTGAGAGCACAGAAAATCAATAGTGATTCTTCAGGATGTGTCTCCAGCCATGAGCTGCCAGTGACTCGTGAACTTCCAGTTTTTCTCAGTGCATTTCCCAAGACTAACAGAATCCAGGTTTGTATCTGAGGGAAAGAAAAGGGTAGATTTTGTAGATCCTGAGACGTGTCTGCTGTTAGTGATGCCCATGGGGTGCTCAAAGAAGAGGAGCTGCTTGTGCTCCCCAGCCAGTCTGTGTAACTTAAGGACAGCAGTGGTTCCCATTCATTCTCCATCTTATCTCTTTCCACAGCTTCCTGGTCATATATGAGCTGTCTCTCTGTTCAGAATTTTTTCTATTTTTCTATTTTCAATTTTTTCTGTTTTTCCCTCACCATCCCTTGGCCAAAGACGAGCCATTTCCCCACTGCACACACCTCTAGGCTGGCTGTAATATGTGACAAGGGAGGGTAAAGCCAGCTCCCATCACAGTATTTTGAGCAAGAACAGGAGCAGGTTCCCCAGGGACCTCTGCAGAGGCCTCTGAAGGCTGGAAGACTGAAGCTAGAAGCTTCATCTGCCCGTTAAATCAGTCCAGGGAAAAATATCTGTGTCTGTGAGCACACCTCCCAGCACAGAACTTTCCTCCAAAGCCTTTTAGACTGCATAAAGTCTGTGCTGAAGTTTGATCCAGGACTCTACATCCAGCAAGATTAGTGGCAATCAAAACCTTGTAGGTGAGAAAAGCAAGTGCTCATTCAAACATGAAGTAACTCATCTGGAAGGCATATCCTGTGGTGTAGTTTTAAATTAACAGCCTTTTTTCCAGTTTGCTGTAGACAGCAGACTGGTGAAGCTCTGAATGCAGACCCCTCTATGATCTGAGATTTGCAGGTGCACTGTCTTTCTGAAGTGAAATTGAAACGTTTCAAATGTTGATACAGCTTACAGATGCAGCAAAGGAACGTGTAACTGGAGTGAGAGAATGCATCCAGCAGAAAAATTCTCAGTTGTGGTGCTAATAGCTTGTTGGAATGGGAATAATTTAGAGAGCTTTCCCTGTTAGTGCCTTGTCATAGGGATAATTAAAGGGGTGTGACACACACCAGTGGGAGCCTGGAGCAATCTGCTGTGTGGCTCCAGTTGGATCCGAACTACAGTAATGCTCTTCCTTGTGCCAGCAGGACATGGGGGTTCAGGCACTTTGAAATGGAATTTGCCCCTCCAAGGAGGGACTTGGATGTGCCTGTCCAACAGCAAAGTGTAGGCAGGGCTGGTGTTGTGTTGCTTCTCCTCTCAGCTGAGTGCACACGGGGGAGCAGCCCCTCAGTGGGCAGGGATGCTGCCGATAGACATCTGCTAAGAACTGGACTGAGATCCTCCAACCTCTCCATATCAGTGGCTGAACAGATGGCGAGCCATCATCCTTGTTATTTTCCGTTCCAGACTCATGGAGAGATGTGAGCTGGCAACTTCTTTTTCTCAGCTTGGGACAAACAGATCTCTAGAAGTCAAAACATTATTATTATCCGATTAATTTCTAGGGAACCGTTGAGATTTGGGTGCCTCATTCTAAGTACATGGACAGGATACAGGCTAGTAATAGTTCCCAAACAGTTTAGGTCAGTATGGATCTAATTTTGGCATAAAACTGCAAGATATACCTAAATTTCCTTTATGCCAATCCCAAGACCATGTTTTGCTGTAAGGCGTGTTGTTTGGATGTAATCACGGGGATGAAAAGCTGCTATCCCTTGTCACAGTCATATTTTCTGAAAAATCCCTTTGCCCAGGATTCTTCTCCTGGGAAGCTGAGAAGCCTCAGAGAAAAAGGAAAACAATTTTATCTCATTGCTGCTTCTGTGTTTTGCTCCTTTGGAATGTGTCTGGAGATTGTTTCAGGTGATTGTTTCATTGGTTTCATGTGAATTGTTTTGTCTCTTTGGCCAGTCAGGGCCAAGCTGTGTCAGGACTCTGGAGAGAGTCACAAGTTTCATTATTATCTTTCTAACATTCTGTAAGTATTCTTTCTGTATTCTTTAGTATAATATTCTTTAATATATTGTACTATCACAAAATATTAAATTGGTCTTCTGAGAACATGGAGATCTCTGGTTCGGGCTTGGTTACTTTTAAACCCCTTGGTGTGACATCAAGCATTCATCTGACAACACCATTCCAGTCAGATGGGTGCAAAAGTAAATAAAAATATTTTGGTGAGCAATTCCTAGTGCCAAAGCTGAGCTGAGAAGCTAAAACCACGAGCATTGTCTCTGTTAGACAGCAAGGCAACAGAAGCTACAACAAAGCGCTCTTACATAATGAAGCAATTATGTTTTCTCAGTCTCACAAGTTTTTTGACAACACAGCTTTCTCAGGCTTTTCACTGATAACACTTTGAGGCTCTTCAGGGAAAATGTGATAAATAAGCAGTCACTGTTCCCAGCGTGGTTTTGATCACCCATTTTTACTGAAGCAATATTTTACATTTTACATCTAGGCTGATACACTCTCAGATGTCAAAAAGGTCACGTAGCTGTCACTGAGGGAAGTCACAAGTCAATAAGGGAGGATCCCTAACGGAATCAAAAACAAAACAAAGCAGAAAATCCATTGTACCTACAGGAGGGAAACAAGAAGCCTGGGTTAACTTTCATGGTTACAAAGAGAGCTAAGTAATGAAGCTGTCATAGAGTTTCTACAAGCCATTTTTTATCCTAATCTTCCTGAAATATTAAATTACATGAGCTGCAGTAGCAAGATCTCTAGACAAAACCATGCCACACACACATATTAAAAATAAATTATAAATGGCTCTGTACAGGAAAATGTAATTCTTCCCCCTGAATGGACCAGGGACAACATGTCTCTTAGGGCTCATAGAAACACTTGGAGAAGGTAACCATTTTTTGTTCTAAAGCAATAAAAATTAATATTTGTGGCTGAATTTTGCATTAATTTCACAAAGCAACAGAGGCAACTAGGACTAGGCAACTAGGATTTGAGCTAATACTGTGGAAAAATAATGATGCTTAAACCCAGATTCCAGGTGCAAAAGGGTGTCAGGTGGGCATTTTTGAGATCCAGACATGAAATTGTACATGTTGTAATTTGGCAGCTCAGGCACACCTCTGTGCTAGGAGCAGGGGCCCCAAGGAGCCAGCCCATTTTCAGAATGCATCACATCTTCAAACCCTGGAAATGCCAGGGGTGTGTGCAGAGCCTGAGCACCGGGTGCATCAGCACCCCTTCAGGTGTGCCAGGGTGGATTTCCTTCCGAAGGCACGTTCTCCTGGTCTTCACTGCCCTCAGAGGGGCAGAAGGAGCTCAGAGGGTTCTGCAGGGCTCAGCTGCTCCCAGAGCTCACACTCCTCTGGGGCCAGACTCAGAGGGGTGTCAAGCACCTGCAGCTCCCTTCCACATTCTCCAGAAATTCCCGCAGGCTGCTGCATGGGTCAGCGTTTGGTTATTCCCAAGTGCCTGGGAAAAATTAAAACCTTGTAGGTTTGGTATTGTTGCAGGCAGACAAAAAGACAAAATTACTGAATCCAAGAGAAATTGCTGGCAGGATTTTTTAAGATAAAGTACTGCCTGTGAAAAATACCTATATACATTGTTTTGTTCTTTGTGGGGTAATAATTCTGAGCTCTTTAATGACCACAGGTGGTAAGGACTCCCTCTGAATGTATTTTGAATTGTAGTAACTACAATAATTCTCAGCAAATAACCTCACCCACCTAGCTGAACTCCTGCTGTAGAAATGACTCAGGGGCAAAAGTGATGATTCAGAAGGTGAAATATTACTTCACGTGGCATGTGGGTGTTCTTCTGAGGTTTCCATTCAAGGATCCACCTTGTTTGCTTTATGGGATCTGACAAGAACTCACAGCCCTCACTAGCAGAATGTAATACAAAGCACTGCACTAATTCAGAGGTGTCAGATCTGCCAGCTGAGATAAAATACACTGGTACCATTCAGATTTCTTATTAAGCTCTCAGCCTTTTCTGTAGGAATAATTTAAATAGGAGAAGGGACAATAAATTCAAGTTACATATGGGAAAATGCTGCTGAAAATAGCCCAGGAAAAATAATGCTAGTAAATAGCAATGTGAAGTGTTATGGGAAGGTCTATTAATCAAATTTAAACATATATCACATTTAGTCTCACCTTGTAAACATTAGTTAACTTCTTGTGCTATGGAAGTATAGCACCAATTCCTCTGTTTTATAGAGCTGTGTCAGACT